TAAAAAAAATTTTTTTTAACTTTGCGTCAACTTTACAAAATAAAGGACAAAATGCCTATTTTAGAAAATAAATAAAGTTAAAGGACAGAGCAGTGAAATAAAGGACTGTCCTCTTAAATAAAGGACGTATGGTCACTGTAAGTATCTTACCCGCATGCGCATTGAAATTTAATACGAATAACAATGTCATTGATGGTTTCTGTTGTGACGTCTAATGACACAAGACAAATTTCGGCACCACTACTGAATCAGTAGTCCTGTCGTTGATTGATTGAGCTGTCAACTTTCTTTAACATTAGGAAGTATAGGAAGTTGACCATTGGTGGCCAGCTCTGCCGAGAGTTTGTTTGGAAATCAAACTATCGTATGGCAACCAGAGAAAATATAGTGTTCAAAATTTTGTTCATAAACAGGTTAGACTGTAAAATGCAGGATATCTTGTAAGTGTTGATCAAATAGTATTGCCTATTAGAATTTCTTTTTATTTTGGAAATATTATTAATGTTGTTGTTTAACTTCTAGTCCTAAAACACTTTCATGTCTTCTAAGTAATTATTACTTACGTTTGTTCATGATTATATTAAGAAAAGTTTCTACTTAAAATATATTTAATTTTAGGAATAAAATTGTACCTCATTAAAATAGCATTATTTAGAAATTTTCATAATTAAAAAATGTACAAAATTATTGTTTATTTCATATAATTACTGTTAAATAATTAAATCAAATAGAATTATCTTAATGTGTTGTAACTATTATAGGAAAATGCTGAATTACAAAATGCTTTACAAGCTTTGGAAACTAACACCAGTACTAGTTTCCTGTCATCTGAAAATGAAAAGTTAGTTTATTTTTCATTTGAAAAATGTTTAATATTTGTTATTTTAATTTTAAGAAATGTTTTAAATTATGGATAAAATTTAACGTTTTACATTTTTATCTTAAAAATATAATTCACATGCTTATAATTACCATCAACATTTTTAGATTAAATGAAGATGCTTCTGAAAAAGATGTATTGTCAACATTAGAAAATAATACAGAAGTTGAAGAACAAGAACTTTCATCTCAAGACTGCGTTCTTGTCCAGTTACAGAATGGAATAGTAGCTTATGGTAATAGAGAAACATTAGAAACAGAGTGGGATAACATTGAAGAATATTGTAATAAGAAAAATACTGTAAATGAAATTTCACTGTTAACAGAATTAGATGCTCAGTACAGAGATTTAACAGAGAAGTACGATTCTTTGATTAGTTCAAGAAAACAGGTAAATTCTGATATTACATCATTCTCTGAAATAGAAGGTTTAGATGATTCTCCAAATTCTTTTAGTGTGACATCAATGGAATCAGAAAACATCAAGATTCCTTGTAATTCTTTACCATATCAAACTAATTGTAAATATGTAGATATAGGTGTTCAGACGGAAATAAGTGGTGATATAAATACAAATCATTCACATAAAAAGATTTTAAATTTAAATTCAGTAAATCCATTAAGTGGTCATTTTGATCATAGTTGTCCAACATATAAAAAATTGTTTGAAGAAATATTTAGTATATTGAAAAGATCACTACAGGTTGATGAAACAGAAAAATCTGATATAAAAAGTTCATCAGAAAATGATAAGCAGGTTTTTAATAATGAGGTGCCAAATAAAGTGACAATAAATCCAAATTCTTGCAGAAAATTTACATATGCAGAAGTTTTGTTGAATGGTAAAACGAAACAAAAAGTAATTCCATTATAAAATTTGTTAATCTTGCCGATTTTATATTAATTTAGAATCTGACTCCTGTCTTAATTTATCTTTCTAATAGTATTTATTTATTTTTTTAAATAGTTTAAATGAAATAGACAGCAAAATTAGAGAGATTAATTTATAATGGGGGTTTTAATTTCACTCTCCAGATGTTATATATAACATCTAATTAGACACTGATAATATTTTATCATTAATTTAAACTGGGACCAATTAAATACTATTGGTATTTAAGATTTTTAGGAGCATATTAGCAGTTTAACACATTGAAAACTAGAAATGTAAAATACTAAATGCCACAATGCATTTGATTTTTAAAAATTGAATTAAAAATTTTTATTCTTGAATTTTATGTAATTTTTATTTTCAGTTTTTAAATTTTATAGTTAACAATTTTTATAATAATATAAATGACATATTTTATTTAAACTGAAGTTTATGGAAATTGTCATATACAAACTTGACATAAGTTAATGCAGATGAACTTGACTTATAATACTTTTAACATTCATTAAGTATTATATAACTCACCTTAAAATAGTGATAAGCTCAAAAGAAAAGAATGGAAAAAACATATTTATATTTTATAAACCTATATAAAATATATGTACACAGTGTATATATATAAAATGTCTGTGTATACATGCATATGTACTATTTTAGATCTATAACAAATAAGCTATTCTGATGATAATTTTAAAATGAAGTATTCATTAATAATTTTTTGGTGTATTCAAAACTATTATTATACTAGGTAATAGATACATGATTAGCAAGAGAGTTTTATTGAATCTCTTATTTGCTTGATCTTTTTTATTTTATGATGATAAATTTTATCTTATGAATTATATTGACAAATTTTGAAGACATGACAAGTGTTGGCATAACTTTGTTTTATTGCATATATAAGTTAATTCATTTTATATTCTGTGTTTTATCCTTTTCAGACAGAATTCAAAATTATTTGATTCATAATAATGCTCATAAAAATTTTTCTTTTATTTAGTATTTTTTATTTGATTTTTTTAACAATGTATGATAAAGTGTAAATTCAATTTAATAATAGTTTAATGTTTATTATTTCAAGATGGAAAAGTAAGATGTGTTTTTCCATTATATTAACATTATTTAACAATAAACTTTTCCACTTATGTTTAGTTTGAAGGTCAGAACATTACATTTAATGTATAATTTTTATTCCATAATTTTTTACTTCTTTTTCTTTTCAACCTCAGATTTGATGCATCCATTCAAAAGGAAATGTAGTGAATGATTAGTAGACAATTTAAGTTAGCAAATATATCTTTACACTTTGTTACATTGTTTCAACATTAACAATTTTAGCTATTTTTTGACTAAGAATGATTTTTCAAACTTTTTAATTTAAAAATTTGAAAATGTTAAAAGCTTATTTGAAGATGAAATAATAATTAAAAAATTTTTAATGATTAAAAGCGTGATTAAAAATTAAATTTTCCTGAAGAAATTGTAATGAATTTAATTGTTAACTTCATGAAATCTTAATGTTTAATATTTTATAAAATGCGATTTTATATTTATTTGAAGAATTTCAAATCTGATTTCAATTCAATATTTTATAATCTGATTTCACTCTAAATTCTCACTTAAATTTCCATTAACCAGCAATGATATGCAATTAGTTTCCAGTTAGTACTGCTGTATGCAAAAGGAGGTGATTTGCTGCTGATTTTTCACACGTAATTACATTGCATGTAATTGTCATTCCTCAAATTTGACAATTCTAAAAAATCCTATGGTGTCTGTCTTCTTTGCACTTGTCAAATTTCAAATTCTTACATTGTTTAGTTCATGAGACAGAACAATGTCCTTAACCCTTCTCCCATAAGATGTCTCTGAGTTGGCAGTAGCATGGTCTAATGTGAAACAAGTTCAGTTGGAAATGATTGAGGGAGGGCAGGTATTTCTTAGGTTTCTGTATTTTCTAGACACAAACTTGAGAAGACCTCATGACTGATGCATTGAAAAATGGTGTCAGAATGGAAAATTTCCACAAGCAAACTAATAGATGCAGAAAATTGTTTGCAAGTTAATATCCATGTTCATTTATATTCTCAACAAAATACTTCTGAAATTCTTTTCAACTCAATTTTTCTCAACTTGTTTTTCATACCATTTTGTTAGATGATATTCATTTATATGTTGAATCTCTGTTTTAGAAATTTTTTGTAAATAGTAGTACCGATTTATTTAGTTAATATAACCTAAAATAATTTTTATATTTTTTAAAGCTATTTCCTTACTCCGAAGACAGTATTTTAGTGTTTTTATATTAAATTTACAGTAGGAAATATGATAGTAGTATTGGTGAAATTGATTTTCCTAAACTACAACATTTGAGATAAATTTGAATGAAGTTTTTTTATATATATAAATAGAGAGAGAGAGAGTAATTGCTCAGAATAATTGTTATAACTTCAGTTATTAATTTAATTGTAATTTTACTGCAATACTGAAATTAAATTATAATTTACACACACACAACCAGATAATACCTTGATGTAAGTTGCTATTCTGTACAATATTTATATAATGTTTAACAAATGTCACATTATCTGACTCCTTTTGTAGAGAAATAAAACTATTTCTGAAATTGTCTTCCATATTTTCTCCCTGCTAGTAACATTTATTTTTTATGGGTTAAAAATTTCATTAATTGGTATGAATTTGCAAATTTGATTGATTCATCTCTCTGCAATACATTGTTCCTGATGACAAATCAAATTTTTTTGCTATTGAACACAAGACTGTATTGTTATTAAAACTCTTGCCGTTTATTCACTTCATTCAGTTGAACAGTAACCACCGGGCGGTGGTTACTGTTCAACTGAATAAAGTGGATAAACGCCAAGAGTTTTAATAACAACACAGTCTTGTGTTCAATAGCAAAAAAATTTGATTTGTCATCAGGAACAATGTATTGCAGAGAGATGAATCAATCAAATTTGCAAATTCATACCAATTAATGAAATTTTTAACCCATAAAAAATAAATGTTACTAGCAGGGAGAAAATATGGAAGACAATTTCAGAAATAGTTTTATTTCTCTACAAAAGGAGTCAGATAATGTGACATTTGTTAAACATTATATAAATATTGTACAGAACAGCAACTTATATCAAGGTATTATCTGGTTGTGTGTGTGTAAATTATAATTTAATTTCAGTATTGCAGTAAAATTACAATTAAATTAATAACTGAAGTTATAACAATTATTCTGAGCAATTACTCCCTCTCTATATATAAAAAACTTCATTCAAATTTATCTCAAATGTTGTAGTTTAGGAAAATCAATTTCACCAATACTACTATTATATTTCCTACTGTAAATTTAATATAAAAACACTAAAATACTGTCTTCGGAGTAAGGAAATAGCTTTAAAAAATATAAAAATTATTTTAGGTCATATTAACTAAATAAATCGGTACTACTATTTACAAAAAATTTCTAAAACAGAGATTCAACATATAAATGCATATCATCTAACAAAATGGTATGAAAAACAAGTTGAGAAAAATTGAGTTCAAAAGAATTTCAGAAGTATTTTGTTGAGAATATAAATGAACATGGATATTAACTTGCAAACAATTTTCTGCATCTATTAGTTTGCTTGTGGAAATTTTCCATTCTGACACCATTTTTCAATGCATCAGTCATGAGGTCTTCTCAAGTTTGTGTCTAGAAAATACAGAAACCTAAGAATACAGGTTCCTAAGAAATACCTGCCCTCCCTCAATCATTTCCAACTGAACTTGTTTCACATTAGACCATGCTAGTGCCAACTCAGAGACATCTTATGGGAGAAGGGTTAAGGACATTGTTCTGTCTCATGAACTAAACAATGTAAGAATTTGAAATTTGACAAGTGCAAAGAAGACACCATAGGATTTTTTAGAATTGTCAAATTTGAGGAATGACAATTATATGCAATGTAATTATGTGTGAAAAATCAGCAGAAAATCACCTCCTTTTGCATACAATTACCAATTATTTATTCTTTTATAATTTTTTTATTATATATTAGCTATCGATTTATTATTTAATTATGCCTAATATTAATAATTTTAATATTTAATTGTATTTAATTGAAATTTTTAAATTCAACACTGGATGAAATAGAATGCGGGACACGAGTTTCGCATTTGGTTTCACACAGTAGCCGTATGACCTATCTGGGTACGATTCATAAAAATAGACAAAGGCTACATATAGGAGGAGCAGAGGGGACAGATTTAATAACGGGTGGCCCCGTTGCTAGGTAACGGGGATGCTCTTGACGGCAACCAGAAGAACTGTTATTTATGGGCCAATTATGTCCAATTTCGCGGGTGCTGACGCCATCACTCTTACACTAAACCATCTCGTTTGTTTCCACTAATAACAATCCCTCTGAGAGTAGCGGGCCAAAAATCAAAACAGCTCAGATTTCAGTCCCCGGTGTAATTTGCCAAGGGGATTAAGCTTAGAGGGATATAATGGATTTGTTCGTTTCGTAGTTACTTCCACGTCTTAAAACGAGAACTTTTCTATCAGTCAACTTCACTATATCATACGCCTCTAAGAGCAGGCCTACTCTTTTAGTTTTTATGTAGTCTATATCGTAAATATTATCTTTATTATCTACAATTAGCTATTGTTACAGAGCCTTGTAAGTGATAAAAAAAAAATGTCTTCTAAAATTTAGCATTAAATATTTCCCACCCTCATTACTATATTAAATTTCATCTGATTTATTAAATGTTATCGAACTTTAATGTACATAGAAAATAAGGTGTTAAATTTTCTAAACACCCTATAAAGTATTTTATCTATTATAACAGTATTCCAGTTAAGAATCTGTTACTAATATAAACACTTCTATTTTTTTTAGATTTTTTTGAGAATATTATTCAATCTTACATAAAAGAAATAATTTTAAAATAGAGAATTTACATATTTTGCTATATTCTATCCCCGTATTCCTGTAAAGTTAGCCAGAGCGTGAAATAAACGTTCCGCTCGACGGAGCGAATTTGTCTCTCTAGGCATGCTCCGACTTTAACTTCTAGATAAGCTTAATTGTTGGAGATCGGGCGAAAGTATGACAAACGATTTCTGTAGAGGTTTGTGACATGCCCTGCTTCTTCTGGACACGAGTAGCCTAATTGTTATCTGTTTATCTCCCTATCTCCCGTGCCACGCGCTCAGTACGTCATCGTGCATAGTGATAGCCAGTTTGGAAATATGCATTTTGTAATTGCTATTACAATCTTGTAAACCAAGATTGAAAATAATGGGGATAACCCCAGCAGCAAACAAATCGTTAATAGCATCATTTAGTCAGCCGGTATTTGCGTTATGTTTGCATTTTCAACCGAAATTATTACATTACACCACAAAAAGTTAAAGAAATAAAAAATCGTAGGTAGTATTTTTGATCTAAACCTTTGTAATCATGTAATAATTTGTAATTTGTAACAATAGTTATAAATGTGAAGTGAATTTCTTTACAGTCGACCCCCTATAACACTGTTGATAATTCCGTTTTATATGAATTCCATGTTGTACGAGTCACTTAGATTTTACAAATATGTATGCCGGGCTGTGAACGACTCGCGTATTTGTAAAATCTAAGTGACTCGTACAACATGGAATTCATATAAAACGGAATTATCAACAGTGTTATAGGGGG